CACAGTACGAACTTACAGTAACAGAACAAAATTGTTTGTTTGTTGCTAAGCTACACAATGGATTGTTGTGCTTTGCCCACCGCGTATATCGAAACCCGATTTTTAGCGTTATGTTGCCAACCTTTGTAATTTATTTTAATTGAGCAGTTGGCTTAGAAAGGCAAATAACTTTCCTTACACTTAATAGTGTCTCAATAAAAATCACTTGTGGTGATTTTGTAATACCTTTAAATTAAAGAACACTGGAAACGATGTCCTAGCTATTTTGAACCTTAACAGAAAGTGGAGAAAATGTGACATGACGTAAAACTCAATAAACTAGCCTAATGAATCATTAAATGATCCATGGCTACAGAATGATAAATAGATGTTTTGAAAACTTTGTTTTTAGAATATCATTCTAATATTTTTTATTTATAAATAAAAGTATTAAAATAGGTCCTTAGGGATTTTCAAGAATTGGAAGAGTGTATATATATATATTAATAATAATTTTTCAACCACGTTATGTTCGCCATAAGGGACTAGTTAAAGAATTAATTGTTAAGTATATAACAGTGTTTGTTTTAGAGCAAAGTCACAGTTGTTTATGTACAGAGAATTGAACCTCGGACTTAACGCTGTTCCAACGGGAAACTATATAACAGCCCTAATACTAATATCTTATAACAACTATAATTAATTAACTACAGTCAAGCTTCGCCAGCTGGGAAATGGCGTCAACACCACAACAATTCTTGTTGTAACAAATGGCTTACATAAATAGTGTTCCGACTACTACTGTGTTTGTTGTGTCCCAGCCAGTGGCGTAGCAGGGGAGGGGGGGGCAGTCGCCCCCGAGCGCAGGTGTGAAGGAGCGCAAAATTTCCTGTGGCCTATAATGCCTATTAATTAATAATTATGCCCTCCCCTAGGATATAGCGCAACTGCCCTGCGTTAAGTAAATACGACACAGTGTTACGTTATTTGTGTGTATTACGCTTGCAGTTATACCTTTTAAAAGACGCCAACTGAAATACAGTGACACCGAATTGAAGTAAATTACACAATTCCATCATTCA